ACTTTTGTGTTAGGAAATATTTCTCTATCCGTTTAGCGTATTGTAGAATAATGGATTTGGTATTCTGTTAATGGAAGAGAAATGAGGATTAGACAAAGAAAGAGACACTGCTTTATGCTTCTTTTTCTTTATTATTGTCTGTGGAAGAAAGAATAAAGAAAAGTGAGGAGAAGTTCTAGCATAATGAAGAAAAAGCAAACGTATATGCTCATCGACCTTTTGATATTTAGTATTTTGTTATTGACTTTGCTTGAAAACTGAAGAATGTATTTGTTTATCAAAGTAAGAGGAAATAAAATCGTTCGATTAAGCAGATATTAGAGAAAGATTATTTTCTGTTTCAAATGAGTATAGTCGATTATCCACTGAAACACTGTGAAATAATCCAGAGGAAAGAAAACAATATTTACACCAACTTTTGATAGATTTTCAAGGTAATTATAAATAATAGTTTACTTTTTGAGATTGAAATTTATTTCAATTAGTTGTTTGGTAATGGTTTACAAGAGTAGACGACAGCTTCATCTTTTCATTTCCTAGAACACAAATTCGTGAATAAGACTCAGTTTTCTTGTTTTTACTAATGAACAAATAGAGATTCGGTGAGTTTTGACTGCAAGTTGAAATGGATTTAACCACCTGTTATTTGATTAAATCTTAGAAAGAGCTCGACTAAATCTCTTGATAAGAAAAAATAAAACGATTTGTCCAAACAATCAAGACGTAAGTGTTCGATTTTCGTTTAAATCGAAGCTCAATAAACGTCCGATAAATAAGCATAAAATTATCTCTAACAAATAACCAAGTTCAGTAAACCAATGAGTTTGGGGCAATGAATGAATTTTTAACTAAGACTTTCTCATCTATTTCTTCTTATATTCTGTTTTTGTTCTTTTCTATCCGAATCGAATTTATTGAACAGATACAAATTCTTTCGTGCATTGTAGTATATTCAAATACAATGGATCTTTGTTATTTGAATTCTTTACATTGTGTTAATGGTAAATGCGCAGTGAACAATTCATCAAATACGAGGGTGTGGGTGTGGGCGTCTCTTGATCCATTGTGAAATCCACGTTCACACCCACACCCACAATGCAGTTGCACAAATTGTACAAAAGACCCATTGCAAAATAGCTACTCATTATGTACCGAATCACTACTTGTTGTGCAAAAGGTAGAATTGTCACCGACATAGGAACCAGATATTGTAGTCTGTTGTTATGAATGAAACAATAAATTTCTTCTTTTGAAGTTCACACTTTTTCTTTTTCAATGAACAGTATAAAAAAAAAGAAACGAGATTTATATGTCATCGCTCACAATTAAATTTATCTTCTTCTTCTTCTGTTATATGTTTTTCTTCACTGATGATCATAAAATGTAATCCTCTTTTTACAGATAGTCTCATTAAGAACAGCAATTTCTACGAATTTTCTGATTAACAACGTCTAGGAATAATTGGAATAATAAAAAAAAACAACAGTTGTCGAAACTATTAGCACATGGATAACGAAATAGCAGGGATATAGCATGGAAAGAAGAGGAATATGAAGCCACTCTCGCTACTTTTAGAGAACTTTCACTTTTTTTCAGTAAGAACAATTTTTCTCTTCGATATAGCTTACAGAAACAGAGTAAAAGAATATAAATGTATTAACTTCAAGATTGAAAAGAGAAGCATAATAACATCGCTTGATTACATCTACAACAATCCTATGGAATCAAATAAACATATTGAAGTGTCTTCAATTGTTTGTAGAGTAAAATAGTTCTACATTCTCCATTTTATGTAGTAATATTGATCAACAATCATATTTCATAAAAAAAAGATCTGATAGAATGGAAGCGAAAATAGTTCTTTTTTATCGTTCAAAGAAGTGGTTTGCATTAGTTTCAAAAACTGTCTTAAATCAGATTCAAATATGAAATAAACATTTCATCTCATATTTTTCAACAAGTAGAGAGAAATTAACATTCATTCCAGAGATTTCTTCTATCAGGTCACTGTTTATTATAACTTGGTTTGTAACAGAAATAAAAGAATGAACTCAACTGATCCTGAACCAATTTTTGAAAAAGAACATCGAGAAGAGTAAAACTAGAATAAGAAATAATTTATGAGACTACGAGCGATTTTGTTGAATGGAACGTGAACCAAAAAGATAAACAGGTTTGGTAATTTTTACATATTTAAATTAAACTTCTTGTGACTCAGGTATAGGGTGTGGCTTTTATTCGTCGAAACTGAAAATTCAATAAGAAATTATCTGTGAACTTATACGAAATATTATTTGAAACTTCATTCTTTTTCTATTAACTTGAAAAATAAGAAAAATTTTGAAGATCTGTAACTATACAATACTAAATTTTTCTTCCTTTCACTTTTCGATGATTTAATATCATTCAGCAAAATAAATGACATGTTTCGCTCGGAAATCGAACCCATGATATGATAACTGGTTATCCGGACTAGGGTGGGTGTGGGTGTAGATATAGGCTAGATACACCCAAATCCACACTCCACACCCTATTCAAATGATAATATCGATGATTCAAACGAAATTCAATTAGTTATTAATGCAACCATTAGCTACGGATTCAATAGTACTATTATTTTTGGAATTGGTACATATTATTTATCATCAACAAGTGTGATATCTAATGCAACTGGTTTGACTATAATGAGACAAGGTATAGATCAAAAATTATTAGTAGGTACTTCAATAATATGTATATTTTATGCTCAATATTGTAATGGATTAAAAATTAATTCACTATCGATTGATTTTGATCCATTACCATTTACAGCTGGTTATATTGTTAATGTAACTGATAATTATCTGGATGTTGAAATACAACCACCTCATCGAACTGATATTAATCGACAGGTACAAGGACTTATTCGTTATGATCGAAAAGAAATGAGACCAGCTTTTGGTTCAAAAACATATCATTTTTATCAAGTACAACCAACAAATATTAATACTAGTCTCGTATCTACTAGTATCCTTCGTATACCTTTAACATCACGAACAGAATTAACTATCGGAGATGCTATTGTTACTATCTATTATATTTTTATTCCTAGTATTCTCGTTACAGATTCGACAGATCTTATTATACAATCAATTAATATTCATTCATATTGGAGAATAGCTTTAGTTACTAATAGAGTCAAACGTGTAATTATTTCTGATTATTATGTTATACTATATGATGGACGTTGGCTGAGTGCTAATTCTGATTGTATACATTTTATTCGTACTAGTGAATATATTTCTTTATCGAATAGTAAATGTCAAAGACAAAGTGATGATGGATTAAATGTTCTAACACCTTACATAATAGTAGCTAAAGCAATAAATACAACTACTGTAATAAATCAAGCATTTAATTGACTGATTCACTCAATATTAATGATGACATACGACTATAATTTAGCAGTAATAAACAATCATTTACAGATTATAGTATAGGAACAGTAGCTTTATCTACATGATATACTTCTATGTCACGATTACTTATCTTTACTAGTTCAATGAATATCAGCGCTGGTGATTTTGCTTGTGTAGCTGATACACTTTTACTTACTATACGAAAATTTACTGTCGAAAATAATCGAACTCGTGATGTTTCATTAGAAACAAGAAATACTGATATAAGACAATCAATATTTAATCGAACAAGTGGATCTGTTATTCGAAATGTAACACTTCCTGAAAATATTTTTATTAATTGTAATGAAGGCATTGGACAAGAACAAGGCTTTATTATTATTCAACCAGATCTAGTTCAATTAGTACCAGTTATTAATGATATTCGAATTAAATCTTCAACATTTTATTTTGGAAATTATGTTCAAGGTCTTATTCAAGCTAATAATATTAATAATCTATTTCTCAGTGGTAATTATCTAGCAACAAACAGTTCTAGATCATTAATATCCATATGTAATAGTCGAAATCTTATTGCATATAATAATACAATCGTTAATATTCAATCAAAAATAGATGAATATAATACATTTGATAAAACAAATTCACGTCAAATGAATTTGAGTAGTCTGATTGATTTACCTTCATTAGCATTTAACTATTCGTTTCCTCACTCTGTTATCATTACAGATTTATCCCATCCAAATCAGAAACATGTGTTCATTTCTGATAACCATAAAACTAATAAAATTTTGACCAATGTATCACGCAATTCATAGAAAGATATTAAGATTTAAACTAATTGTTTCTTTTATAGTAACAGTAAAAGTAGAAAAATAAATTATAGAAATAAAATATGCTGAACTTAATCAAAGGCTTATATGGTATTCTTCTTTTTGATTACTCTCCATCGAGAAAACTGAAAGCAAATCAAATCAGATTTTTGAAAATAAATTTTAGATCATAGGTCAAAAACTTCTTTTTCAAACGACTAGAAATGTCACATTAAAATGGCTATTTGCACGAGTTTAAGTCATTTCATATATTTGTCAATTAAAATAAATTTTCATTATTAACAAATAAGAATCATCAGTTTTATTTTAATCTAAACATTTTCATTGTATATTATTAATCATTCCGTCAACAAAAATAGCAATAAAATGATTATGCTGCAAATACATGATCCATTATCATAAACATAATTAGTACAATTCTTATGAAAACTACTATAGACGGAGATGAAATTAAGCATGTAAAAAAAATCAATAAAAGTTCGTTTTGTCTTCACCAACAACATCGAAATTTTTTCAATTTATGATATAGATAAATCAATTTCTTTTTATAAATCTTGTATCAACCAATGAACATTTTGAAAATGCTGCAATGAATGAATAGAGAGTAATAATAGCTCTTGTACTACGTTAAACATATATAAGATATACGTAACTGAATATATAGATTTTTATTAAATACTATACAACTAATCATGATTAAATAGATTTACAAAGTTTTCAAGAATATGTATATATAATTATATTCAATGTACAATAGTAATTAGTTTTTTATTTGAAGTCTACTATGTTTCAATAACAGTTGGCAGCATTTGCGATTGTTCATCATCTGGTATCTTGGTTTCTTCAAGAATTACTGAAACCTGTGCAGGTATTGGTGCAATTTGAGGACCTTTTTCAGCATGTTTCAGAAGAAGCATTTCACAATCTCGAATAAAAAACCATCCACCATGAATAACAATAAGATCATTAATTATTCTCTTTCGACGTATATCTAACAAATGAAATCGAATTCTATTTGGTACATTAATAGCAATAAAAAATAATGCACCTAAAAGCATAGTAAAAGCTTTGATCCAATTTTCAATATTGAATGGAGTAAGTAATTTTTTTCTTTCATTCCATTTTAATTTTAATTTATTTTTATCTTTATTAAATAAAGCATGTGGAATTTCTCTTTGTGCAAGATTTCTTTGCCATAATTGATTTATCATTCCAGTACTCATTCCAGCTAAACAACCGGCTAGATAACGTGTAATTCCATGTACAATTATTAAATGAGAATCCATTTCTCTGATTGATGATGAAACAATTGTTTTATTTCTTTTTTGATTTTCTATTATGTTTGATGTAGAACTTTCGACATATTTAAGAAACAAATTACTTTGCATAAGATAAAAAAAAGTAAATGTTTCCCACATAAAATTAATTACAAGGCCATTCATTGGATCTAATATAAAAAAACGTTTTAAACTATTCCATCTTGTTTCACCATATTGTCGTCTATTTCTCTTTTCTGGTTTCGATATATAAAATCCATGAAATAATTCTGTACTTATAGCCATACCAGTTCGTGAAGAATGTGTATGAAGATAACCAGCAACTAATTGACTAAAAGCTGTTATCATTATTGTAATCAATGATTTTGTACCAAAAATTAGAGCAGTTATTGTAAAAAGTATTGGTACTACTGAAAATGATCCACTATAAGCAAAAAATCCCATAATCATACCAGAAAGACATGTTTGTAGAATGGTTAAACCTTTGGATGATGGAATAACATTATTATTATTATTACTATTATTCTTTACTACTGATTTATCGTTATTTAGATTCATTATTTATAAATCAAGCAAAAAAATAAATGGAAATTTATTATGAAAGGTAAATTAATAACTGGGAAAAAAATAACTTTCTCTCTTTGTCTTTCGTGTCCATTTATATACTCAATCAAACGCGAACGTGTTGACTCGTTTCTAGGAAATGTCATTATATATTAAGGTGTTTTAAATATGATAATGTCTGTTGACAAGGATGTTTGCAATCATTAATGACAACGTATTTTTCTAAAATCTATTTAGTACTAACTAATAATCAGAAGATTTTCTAAAATATAGGATTTTTGTACAGGTGTAGGTAACAATATAAAACGCCAATGTTCAGTCCATACTGGTCGTCCATTTAAAAATAGAAATGCATTCAAATAAAATATTAGCAAGTGTACGAGATATTTGAAATGATTTATTTATATAGAAGCTGCAGAAAAAAACAAATTTCAAGTAGAATTTTGTGTATCAAATATATGATTAGGTAAAGCATGACCAGTTGATCAAGAATATATATATGCTTTTTCTTTGTAATTAATTCCTAGGAAAAGAAATCTATTGATTGTTAAAAAAACATTTCAACGTATCAATAACTGAATATTGTTAATTTCTTCTTTGCCTTTTGAATTTCAAAATTACTTGTTTAACATTTACTGTCAAAACAAAAAATACGAAAGCCTTTCCTAAGTAACTTTCATAATTTTCGTTTTTTTATATGAAATCTGTGTCAAATAATTTAGAAATTCAAACGAAAGAAAATCAGTTGACACTTTTCCAAATTATCGTCAATTGGTTTTTTTTCTTATGTAACAAGTAGGTCATCTGCAAAAAATTGCAATTTTTAATCTAAAAATTAATTAAAAAGAAATCATAAATACTCTTGATAAGTTCGTCACTCTTTATGTAAACATATGCAGATTTATGAATTAATTGCTTTCATTTTGGGTTTTTGATTCATTATCTACAGAAAAAAAGGACTTGTATTCATTTAAATATTGGTACATAATTCTGAGGTTTCTTTTTCCTATCTACGCATTCCTATATTACTAGATATTTAAAAGAGAATACAATGCCACAAATACATATATTTGTTCGTTGGATTCGTAGAGGATGTTGTCTGTTCAGGACGATAATATACTGCTATAATGTGCCAATGTTGCTGTGTGCTTCAAACTAAAATGTTATACTGCTTTTATACATGTTCTAATACAGCAAGAAAACAAAATCTATCACGAGATGCACAAATTAGTCTTAGGAATAGTATTAAAAAAACACGTCGTTGTTTTTTTTTGGCTCAAATTTTACCGGTGTTTACTGTATAATTTTTGGTCCTCGTTATGTGTGTGTACTTATTTTTTTAAAATTAAATAAAAACAAATAATCTTAATATGTTATATTGCATAAGTATTAATAATATCAATTAAATGATGATGTAACTTTTCGATAATTGAAGTCTTCCTGTTCAGGTGTTGTATAGAAGTGCGTAGGTTCTTCTATTTAGTCTTTTTTTTTTGTCGTTCTCATATTAATTATATCATATTCAGACGGCAACAAGATAAAAGTGATGACACATGAATTACTTCTTTTCTCTCCTTTGTTCAAATATCAAAATCCTGCGTTGCTACGATGAATAAATATCTGTTTCCTTTCATTTCTATGATTCCTTTTTTTTTATTCTAGATACCTAATAAAGTTAAAAGAGTCATTTTACATCAATAGTTGCATGATGCTTTATTGACTTACTAATCATGGAATAAATTCATTCTTTAATATGTTGTTTTTTTTCCAACTAATCTCATCGTCAATGAATCATGTGTCATTCAAATCACAAGTAACATTCAACAACATTGCATGTTGATTCATTGGCCCCCTAGACGAACGGAATGATGACACAGCTGTTCTTATGTTTTTTAGCAAAAAATGAATTCTGTTTAATGATAATTTTAGGATAAATTTATATTTGCGAAATGTTGGATTTCACATAATGTAGATATATTCAAACAGTTGACCTGAAACATTGAAACATGCTAATATATGTGATAAAGCATATGCCTTAGTTGTTTGTAATGACTAGTAATGCTGATTTATGCCATAGTGCTGCCTGTTTCTAATATGGATATAGATCAATTGTGGCAGTGATATGCTCATTATAACGGTAAGAATGATCAACTATCACATAGAAATGGTTTATTGCTCCGTGAAAACTGCGTTTAGCCAGAAAAATGGACAATTATACAAAATGAATAGGCGCTTTTACCACGACAACAGTCACTTGTACCAAGTGTTATAGATTGACAGACAGACAGACAGTTGAATTTCAATTTCTAGACCGTAGCCTTTCAGTCTAGAGAACATGTATATTGATATGTATCATTTTGATAGTTTTGTGCAACCTGTGACTTTAATTTTATGTTGTTCTTTTTAANTGATGAGGTTGCTTACGATCGTAATCCTGCTAGATACAAACGCAAATCCATTCAAAAATAACTCTTCTTACCCAATTTTCCAAGCTAAACACGAATCTGAACTCAATTCCTGTGATTTCTAGAGATATAATATCACTGTGAGAGTAGAGCCAGTGGTTACCGTATAGGGTCGCATACAGTATGTTCCATGCTAACTTAGCACGTCTATATTTTCTCCTTGCAATTTAGTGATTAAAAACATAGTGAATATACCTTTTCGCTTTTTGAGGTGCACATAACACTCGGATTTAAATCCGAGGTTTTCGCATTTATTGATCCTAGCTTCCATTGGTCAGAAAGGGTGGGTGTGAGTGTGGGTGTTCATCATATTTGAAATATTATCAACACTCATACTGGCACTCGCCCAAGATACCCCACTAACCCATAGCCATCCACACTGGTAGAACCTGGAAAAGGTAAAGAGGAATCGAAAAAGAAAACTTACAGAATCGAAAATACGGGAACAAAAACAAAGCTTTTTACGTGAATATTAACGGGATATGGGAAGATATAAGAGCTGTTCCTAGGCGACTCTAATAAGAAGATAAAAGCGTCTATTTGCTGCACTTATACTGTCTTCTATAGGATAAACATATGGAGAAGTTGAATATAGAGAATAAATTACCAAGCTTCTTTATCAATAAGTTCATGCTCAGTTTTCGACACATTATTGACGAACTTAATGAACGATTCCGATACCTCAAAAGTCACAATCTTCTTATCAAATCGATATTGATCTTACTTTTTCTATGTGTTATATATGCCATCGTTTTGAAGCAATACCATGCATCATTGGTGATGCAATCGAATTCTAAGAAAAAACAACATTCTTCTCCTTTTCAGCACACTCTTGGATTTATCAGATGGAATTCACCAAGACCCGAACGTATACCCTTTATGGAAAAATATCGACCATGCTTTGCTGATCTACATTACTCAATACCAAAGTATGCAACGCAATTGAATATCACAATAGATGGGTGGGATAATGGGAAAAATTCTTATAAAGCTGTTGGCGACACTATGAAACTGATATTGAACAACTATCCGAAGATTGAAGGTGTTCTATATTTCCATTTCGATGTAGGTATACGACATATTGCAGATTCTAGTCAGAATATAACTGCCTATGACACCTTGCTTGAGACAAACAGTGCAAAATAGTTCAGTATGAGGAGCATCCAACAATCTAGTTGAGTTTCGTGTTATTAGGGGTTTCCACTCTTCGTAAAGGAAAGCTTGCTGAAAGATAGTCCAATCTGGAAACGATCCAGTGATAGACTGCATTAGTGCATATTAGGAACTCAGAGGATGTTTTGAAATAGCGAAAGAAACCTGGCACCCTTCCTAGACAAAAATTCTGCATGTGTTGAGTGAAAGTTCATATTTTCATGAGTACTTTCTTAAATTTGCTTTTAGATTTGCTTCTCACTGATATGGGAAGTAACTTAGAAAGAAGATTTTGATACATTACTCGACATAAATTTTGTCTAGACGACGCCTTAAAGTAATACGTGTAGATAGCTACCGTTTTTAGATCATAGTAGCAAGCGATGAGGTTTTCTTCTTTTCAAAATCGATACCAGTCCAAAGCGTTGAGGCTCAACTTATTGGTTGTGAGGAGGTGCGAGTCATTTTTCATTGTTCTCATCGTTTGAAAGTCAATTCAAACCGTCGTTTAGTTATTGCTAGTTCTGAATCACTGTAGAAATTGCTTAAGATTGCTGCTTCAATCAGAGATGGAATCGATCTAAAATTTTTCAGACGGCCACCGATGCTGGTTTTATCTCTGACTTCAATATTGTAGTGCTTTAGTGAAACATGATTGTTAATGATTGTTGAAGTATATGAAAAGAAAAACATTTTGATCTCTGTTAAGTTTTTTCAACAATCGTACTGAATGCATTGGTATTGTTTTAGATTGTAAATGGTTTATGGCATAACTTTTGATGTGTTAGTAGCATCCTAGAGACTTTTACAGTATGCTAGTTTTTGATTGCATTATGGTCCGTCATTTGGATTGTGAGATTTTCATAAGAGAAAAAACACAACTATCGCATTTCAGTTAACTGATTTGAGGTAATTTTATAGTAGTCTTTCTAGCGAAAACATCCAAATACTTCATCGTATTTCACTGATACTCAAATCTAGAAGTATAATCAATTAATTTGAGCTTTAGTATCAAAATAATTATGTAAAACAAAGCAAAACTATTATCTAGTTCAAAATTGAAGAAACATGAATACTTTTCCAACAATTCTCGATAGAAAGTAGATACTGATCTTTGCTTTTGACTGTTGGTAAGAGAAGATATAGACACATCAAATGATATACCATAGATTTTACTGCCAAGTGTCTTGAGATTTTCTATTGAATTTTTTTGAAAAAGATTTGGTACGTCTGGACTTGATTAGTAGAGTAAATCTTTATGAGAATGCCTCGAGAAATTGGAATGTTTGCCTAATTTCTCGAAAAAATAGATAAAAACCCATAGCAAAATGCCTTTAACTGCTGAACGTTACAAGTTGAAAATGTGGGCTTTGTGCA